GTTTCTTCCCTTTGTTTCAGATTTATCTATCTGGGGTCTTTATAATTACCGTCTTTGTAATTGGGTTTCTGAGTGAACGTCCAACTTGTTGATTCCCAGTGCTAAATTCTGAGCAACCCACTGCGCTGGCCAAAACAGCGGCGTTAAGATTGATGGTGCTTTTCTGACTCAGCACCAAGAACCACTGCACCGAGGCAGCGGCAAAACTGCCTCGCCGGCCACAAGAGTCGTGCTGGCCACCCGTGGGGCTCCTCTGCTGGGAATCTCCTGGTGTGTGAGCAACAAAAATTCGTCTGAAAGTGTTGTGTCCTCTCGTTCTCTGCGCTTTCACTGGCAGCTACATCCTGAGCTGCTAGTGATCAACCATCTAGGATCTCTCTCCTTTTATTTTTATTTTTGAGAAAGAATTTTGCTCTGTTGCCCAGGCTGGAGTGCATTGGTGCAATCTTGACTCCATAGCCTCTACCTCCTGGGTTCAAGTGATTTTCCTGCCTTGGCCTCCTGTGTAGCTGGAACAGGTGTGTGCCATCATGCCCGGCTAATTTTTGTATTTTTAGTAGAGATGGGGTTTTACCATGTTGGCCAGGCTGGTCTCGAACTCCTGACTTCATGATCCGCCTGCCTCGGCCCAAATATATTCTTATCTTAATAAATTTACATTTATCTTATTTTACTATTACTTTATTATTCTATTGATAAGAAGTATAGCTAACATTCACTTTTAATATAAAAATGATATTTAATATTTTTGACTTAAATATCTTAATTTTTCTTTCCAATAATTTTTCTTTCCAATTTGTGTTTCAAAACAATTGCTTTTAGTATTTTTAAATATGGCATCACTTCTTTTGCATGTCTGTATTATTCAGTATTACAATTTATCTCAGTATATGTGGAAAACAGTAGTTGTAAAATGTTTAAATGAATCATTTCAGTTCACTGGACATACCTCTATGGGTATTAATTTTTTTTTTTTTTTTTTGAGACTGTCTCTCTCTTGTTGCCCTGGCTGGAGTGCAGTGGTGTGATCTCTGCTTACTGCAACCTCTGCCTCCTGGGTTCAAGTGATTCCCCTGCCTCAGTCTTCTGAGTAGCTGCAATTACAGGCACTCACCACTATATCCAGTTAACTTTTTTGTATTTTTAGTAGAGATGAGGTTTCACCATGTTGGTCAGGCTGGCCTGGAACTCTGAACCTCTGGTGATCTGCCCACCTTTGCCTCCCAAAGTGCTGAGAATACAGGTGTGAGACACCGTGCCTGGCCTAATGATTTTGTAAAGTTTTAAAATATATTTATAGTATAAAAATTATGTAAACTATTCCTGAAAATATCTGAGGCAGAAAAAAGAAGAAAAAATCACCAGTGCCTACCCTGCCTACCCTGTAACCAATAATTGCTTTTGTGAAAGCATTTTAATAAAGTTTCTTAGCTTTTGTTTTATATATAATTTTTCATGCTCCTTTTTTCTTTTTTATATTACTTTTTTCATGATATAAAGACAGGTTATATTGCCCAGTCTTCATAATTACATATTTTGAAGGGTCCTTAGTATTCTACCCAGCAGGTGTAAGACAGTTTGCCTAATAATGTTGATTTTGTCATGTGACATTCAGTGTTATTTTTCAGTTTATCACAATTACGGCTAATACACAACTTCATTATAGTTCTTTCCATCATATTTAAGGTTGTTTTCTTAGATTACATATGGAAAGGTAGAATTACTGCATTAAAAACTCAGTTTTCGTTCTTGATACAGTATTGCCAAAGTGCTATCCATGTATGTTGTACTAGTTTACATTCTCAATACAGTGTCTGAGAATTTCATTTTCCCTGATTGGATAATGTGTAATTTATATGAAAGTTAGCAAATTTATTTATTTTTAATAAATAAATTTTAATTTCTTATTTTAATTTGCAGCTGGACTTTATATATTCGTTTTGTTTTCTTTTGCAAACTACTGATTTTGCTTATGTTTTCCAGTTTTATTTTTTTAAACAAATTCTCTATATAATAAAGGTATTAGCTAACTTTATATTTCTTTCAGATTTTTTTCTCCCAATTTCTCATTTACTATTTTGAGCACACTTAGGATTTACTTTTATGTGAGTAAAATTTGTTGAACTTTTATTTTTTATTTGTGTTCTAAATTTAGTAAGATCTCTATTTTAAAAAAACCATTCTATTTTCTTGTCTTTTTAAAATCTTGTTTGAGTTTTGAAATTCTGTTTTTAATCTGTAAGTGTTTTGATAGTATGATACAAGGCAGCCTTTCTCAGCTGGGAGAGAATTAAGCTTCAATGCCCTAAGGCATCTGTTGTGTACTGTGAATTAACTTTTTTTCTGTGTGTCTGAGGTGGATGGTACTGGATATGTACCATCCTTGGAAAAATTGAGAAAGTAGTGACTGAAACCATTTTTTCTTTGTTTTGTGATTGAGGTAAAGAATACCACTTAAGAAAGACTGTTAAAGCTCTAAAGGTATCTTTTTCAAATCTGTTAGCAAATTGTTCTGTCAGTTGTTCACTCCTACATCATGGGATTGTTGTGAGGGTTAAATGACATAATGGGCATAAAATACTTTAGCATGATGCATATAGTAAGCAAAATAAAATGTATTAGCTGTTACTAATTTTTCTTACTACATTTTTCTGATTAGGTGTATTTGAGGATTTTTTTCCTGAGCTAGTACTAATTTAACTATATAGACAGCATTGTTGAGACTATATAGACAGTTAACTTGGATTAGCTTTCTAACCTCCTGACCTCTATTGCTATTCTTGTTTTTATTTTACGGATAGTAAATTTTTTTTCTGTCTTATTTATTCTACCAGAGAAATTTTAGAATCATTTTGTCAAGTTCTAAAAAGAATCCCAGGGGGATTTTAATTGGAATTACATTAAGCCTGTATACATTTAGAAAACATGGTTGGTTGTAATATATAGTTTGCCATTATGGAAGATAGTTTTCTATTCAAATTTTTTCTCCCATACTGTTTTATAGAGTTTAACAGTGCTTCTTGACATGGAGCCAAATTATTATTCCTAGATACTTTATGTGTTTGTCACTAATATAAGTGGCATCTTTTTTCCCCGTTGTGTTTTCTAAGTGGTATTGGTCATATTTGAAGTTCTGTAGATTTTTTAAAAAATACATACTCTTTAAGCATACCACCTTTCCTTTTTTCAGTATTAATACTCTTTCATATTTTTCTGTTTGATAGAATTTCTGAAAGAATGCTAAGTAATTGATATGTGAATTCTTACTTTGGTCTTTATTAGGGATGTCCTTCATATGTTATTTTAAGCTTAATGTTGACTGTCGGTTTAACAAATACTTCTTTTCAACTCTTTAGAGAATTATGAAAGTAATACTTGCTCATAACAAAACACAAACAAAATATAACTGAGGCAGGGTCAGTTTATTTGTGATTTTTAAGATTTTCAAAATATTTTGTTCCTTTTTTTTCATTTTTATTTTGAGTTAAAATTTAACTTGCTATATAATTTGTTAATATGTTATCCTAACAGATAGTCTAGCATTAAAACATCTGTGGGACAAATTCTTTTTCAGGGCTGATAATCTTTTTGATATTTTTTCTTAGTGAATGGGATGGGCTAGAATTTTAGAATTAAAGCAACTTGGATTTTTATCATTATTATTTATTTATAATTAATTTTTATTTTATATTGTTGAGATGGAGTTTCGTTCTTGTCGCCCAGGCTGGAGTGCAGTGGCGCAGTCTCGGCTCACTGCAACCGCTTCCCTGGTTTAAGTGATTCTCCTACCTCAGCCTCCGGAGTAGCTGGGATTACAGGTGCCTGCCACCATACCCAGCTAATTTTGTATTTTTAGTTGAGATGGGATTTTATCATATTTGTCAGGCTGGCCTTGAACTCCTGACCTCAAGTGATCCCCTCCTTCCCCCACCACTGTCTCAGCCCCTCAAAGTGCTGGTGTTACAGGCATGAGTCACCATGCCCAGCTTACGATTATTTTTTTGTTGCCGTTTTTAGCTGAATGACCTTGGCCAAACTGTCTCTTTTGAATGTCAGTGATTTGTTTGTAGTTTAATGGCTTTTCCTGCCCCTTGAATTTAGGTAAAATTATCTCAACCTCTACTCTTTGAGCTCGCACCTCTCCAACCTGTACAATCCCACAGCTGGTGAAAATCCTAAGTCTTCCACAAGATAAAGCAGAAATCTTGTTTTCTGATGGTTATCTTTGCTTTTGAACCTCTTTTTCCACCGTTGCTGCTTCTGTTTCTCATCTCTTTGACCCAGGTATGAAATTCATTCCCTCTTGATTTTCACTTGTGCAAGCAATAACACCATTTTTATGGGACGGATTTGAGTTTGGTAGTCTTTACCAAGATAGAGAAAGCACTAATACAAATGAAAGTAGGGTAGTAAGCATCACCATTCTTAAAATGTCTTCTGGTCCCTGTACTTTTGGATTTTTTAACCCTAGTCCTGCTTCTCTTTGCCTACCTTATCATCATCTTGTTACTGTACCCTCCTTTCTGTTAAAACCAATACTTTCTTGTTTCTTGCAGAGCAATCCTCTCCTTTCTGAATCTTTGGCACACAACTAATACCCATGTTCAGGATATCACCTTCATTCCAAGTTCATTGTCAGAACAGAGATAGTTTCTTTCCTGAGAGAAGGTCTGGTTCTGTTTATGACATTTTTCCTACGTTACTGTTCTACCTTTTGGGACTGTGTTGAATGAAGTAAGTAATCTTCAGGCATGCAGACTTGTGCGTATAGGATATATTCAGAGGTTTTCCCCTTCTGTATCATTCCAGCTGCCTAACTCATGTTAATCATAACATGCCTATTGCAAGCTAAATCAATATATCTGTAATGTGGTTGACAGTGCCTCTTTTTTATTCATAAAATCAGTGCTTCGAAATTTTATTGCTAAATTTCATGGCATGATTTTAAAATGTAGTTTGTTTTTATGTGTTAAAAAGCTCAGTTCTTTCTTGTTTTGCAGAGAGTTAATTGTTAAAGCCAATATGGCCACAGGAGGAGGTCCTTTTGAAGATGGCATGAATGATCAGGATTTGCCAAACTGGAGCAATGAGAGTGTTGATGACAGGCTCAACAATATGGTATGGTATCTTACTCTTCATGGTGTGTTGTTGGCTATTAATATTAAATTTAATGCAGTTTTCCCCTGACCAAATTTAACCTACTGACCAAATTTCACTTACTGAAGCTCTTTGTAAACACTTGCTGGCCAAGATATTAAGGGACCCTGGGCTGTTTATTATATTAATTGAGGACGTTTTAGCTGCAGGAAGCAGAAATAAAATTGAGTTAGCTTTTAAGCCAAAAAGCAGATTTACCGTTATATAAAGATGTACAAGTGTTTTTTATGGAAACCACGTTAAAGGAGTGCAGCTAGGTTTTATAGGAAGGGACTAGAAAAAGGAATTGGAAAGTTGTCAAGAATTAACTTTTCACCACCCTTACTCTGCATCTGAGTGCATCTGTCTAACACTGCTTTCTTTTCACAGACCAGTTTTCTCTCCTCTGGTCCCTGTGGTATACTGTGGCTGTCCCATTGTTCTAAAGTCTTTAGTTATGAGTGCAATTATGTACTGACTAGTTATCTCTTAGTTACAATTTGAAATTTTGAAGTATAATTATCCTGATTTGGATTAGATATGTATTTCTTTTTTTAGTCTTCCATGGCCAGGGTGGGGTGAGGTAAGTAGTATAACAGGTTGGCAGGACTGTCCACTCACACTCATAGATTGGGTGGAAGGACAGTTTTTAAAGAAGGGGTTTTGTTAAAATCAGGACAATATCCCAAGTGATGTACTATAGTAGTAACTAAAAGAGTTTTACAGTTGGATAAAATGGGAATTTATAGACCTTTTTGTTGAATTAGGTTATGTGGGTATAATAAAAATGTTTTTCACTTTGCAAGTACTTTTTATAATTCCATGTTGGATATTATCATGTACATTTTTACCTATGAAAATAATAATGGCTATATTTATTGCTTACTAAATGGTAGATACTAATTATTTTTAATCCTATTTTGAAGATGACACTATTTTAGAAATTAGGAAACTGAGACTATGGGAAGTGAAATAAATAGCCTAGGGTCACACAGTGGAGAGTTTTCTCAGAAAATAGTAATAAATTTTAGAACCCAGGTCGATTTGATTTCAGATCTTTTTATGATACATATTTACTTTATAGGAGGTCAATAAAGGTATCTAATTTATTTCACGATTCTATCTATAGATAGAAAATAATAATTAAAAATCCTCTTGGAAATATTCAGATTGATTTTGGGGTTAGCATTTGAGGATTTGTGTTCGTTAGTGATGTGTGATAAGTAGTCTATTTTCTGAAGGATGGCCTATAAAATTAGGATAGATGTAATAAGGGGAAAAATGGGTTAATGGAAGTAAATAATTGTCTCTAGGAGTATAAGTCTATGTCAAACATTTTTTGTTTTTATACTGACCAAAACTTTTTAATTATGCCAAATTATTTTCCTGGTTTGATGGAGGCCAGGTTAACTTTTACTTTTACTTTTTTAAAGGACTGGGGTGGCCAACAGAAGAAGGCAAATAGATCATCAGAAAAGAACAAGAAAAAGTGTGGTGTAGAAAGTGATAAAAGAGTAACTAATGTTATTTCTCCGGAGTCGTCACCAGGAGTTGGAAGGCGAAGAACAAAGACTCCACATACGTTTCCACACAGTAGATACATGACTCAGATGTCTGTCCCAGAGCAGGCAGAATTAGAGAAACTGAAACAGCGGATAAATTTCAGTGATTTAGATCAGGTTTGTGAATCATTGTTAAAAATCAAGTTAATTACTAGAGAAATACTTGAAATTGATTAAATAATTTGTCTTAGGAATAAAAAATTGAGCTGTTTATGTAATTTTTTTTTTAAGTTTCTGTGCCTATGGACAGAACTTTAATCACAGGGGATGGTCCTGTGTTCTTTAGAGGGAAATGAAATCTCATTTCTAAATTTGCTAAAGACAGGTATTTCTGGACTTGATTACTATGTTATATGACTAAAGTGATTTTACTATGAAACTAAATTTAGCAATTTAGTAACTGAATAAAATTGGTGTTAAGTAATGGAAAGTTCCAGTTTAGTATATTTATCATTGGCTAAGTGTGGGATGTACTGGGTTACCTCAAATTTAGAATGAAACTATTTTGTAATTATCACCAAAATAAAGTTTATATCTAAAAGCAAGTTGAAGTGATGATAAACTCTTGACAAATATTTTACTGTCAGATCTGTGTGTTATAGAAATAAACACATTTCCAAAAATGTGGAAAGGTAGATCCAAGTCTGATATGATGATGATGATGATCATGGATCATTAATATCTATTTATTACTGAACATTTAACTGTATGTCAGGCACTGAGCTGGACAGTTCTTCATGTAGACACATCTTTAATAATTTACATTGATTCATTAGGTTGAAAACCTATAAAAATGCTATAAGCAAGTAGCAGAAAGCAATGTGAGTTAAAATGTGATTCATGGTTCTAGAATACATTGAGCATTCTTGTTATGAAAATCTGAAATGCTCCAAAATCCAAAACTCTTTAAGTGCCAACATGAGTAAAAAATTTCCCACCTGAGATCTTGTGACGAACTGTAGTGAAAACGCAGTCAAAACTTTGTTTGATGAACAAAATTATTATTATCTTTTTTGAGACAGAGTCTTGCTGTCTTGCCCAGGCTAGAGTGCAGTCGAGCAGTCTCAGCTCACTGTAACTTCTGCCTCTCAGGTTCAAGCGATTTTCCTGCCTCAGCCTCGTGAGTAGCTGGGATTATAGGCGCCTGCTACTACACCTGGCTAATTTTTGTATTTTTAGTAGAGATGAGGTTTCACCATCTTGGCCAGGCTCATCTTGAATTCCTGACCTTATGATCCACCTGCCTCAGCCTCCCAAAGTGCTGGAATTACAGGCATGAGCCACCATGCAGCAAAATTATGAAAAATATTGTATAAAATTGGCCGGATGTGGCTCACACCTATAATCCCAGCACTTTGGGAGGCTGAGGTGGGGGGATTCTGAGGTCAGAAGATCAAGACCATGCTGGCTAACATGGTGAAACCTTGTCTCTAGTAAAAAAAAATACCAAAAACATTAGCCAGTTGTGGTGGCATGCTCCTGTAGTCCCAGCTACTTGGGAGGCTGAGGCAGAAGAATCACTTGAACCTGGGAGGCGGAGGTAGCAGTGAGCCGAGATGGTGCCATTGTACTCCAGCCTGGGCAACAGAGCAAGACTCCGTCCCAAAAAAAAAAAAAAAAAGTAAAATTACCTTCAGACTATGTGCATGAGGTACATATGAAACATAAAGGAATTTTGTGTTTAGACTTGGGTCCCTTTCCCAGGACATATCTCGTGTTTATGCATGTATTCTAAAATTTGAGAAAAAGTGAAATTCGTAACACTTCTTGTCCTAAGTATTTTGGGTAAGGGATACTCAAGCTGTACTTCATTTAAACTAATCTTGTTCATATTCATCAGTTGAATTGCCTAAACAAATTGAGGTCTGGAAAATGCTAATCAAATTTTCATATTTTAGTAACAGACTTATAGAGCCAAAGCTCTTTGAGATCTTACTACAAAGCTGTGTACATCTCAATCAGTATCTGATGGTGAAACTAAGAACATTGGGATTAAAAAAAATTTTTTTCATAAGGTTAATGTTTATGTCATTTAATTTCTTTTTCATACATAGAGAAGCATTGGAAGTGATTCTCAAGGTAGAGCAACAGCTGCTAACAACAAACGTCAGCTTAGTGAAAACCGAAAGCCCTTCAACTTTTTGCCTATGCAGATTAATACTAACAAGAGCAAAGATGCATCTACAAGTCCCCCAAAGAGAGAAATGATTGGATCAGCACAGTGTAAAGAGTTACTTGCTTCTGCTTTAAGTAATGACCTCTTGCAAAACTGTCAGGTCTCTGAAGAAGATGGGAGGGGAGAGCCTGCGATGGAGAGCAGCCAGGTAATACACATTTCTTTTTCTTGCTCATTTTTTTCCTAAACCTCAAAATATGTACATTAAGATTTTAAAAATTAAGTTATGCACACAGGAATTTTAGTTAGGTGGAATTAAAGTAATTCCTTGACCCTTTTTGTTAATCTACCAGATTTACTTAAAGTAAATTTCTGTTTATCCAAAATAATTTTAGAAGTGGCATATTCAGGTTAATTAAGACTTCTGTTTATTTGTGAAATACCATATTGCCAGTTTTTAGTAAAGGGGGATTGGAAGTAAAGTGATTAATAGATTTTTGTAAGAATTTTTTAAAATGACAGTATAATTTTTTGAAAAGTTGTTGCAAAAGTATTTGTTGTAATACACTTAATTTATTACAGTATGTAAACATTAGAAAACATAAGTAGTTTGGTGTGCAGTTCTAGAAGTAAAATTTTTCTGATACTGTAGATTAAGATTTTAAAATTTATTTTTAAATTCACAGTGATTGGAGTTTTTAGTATTACCAGTTATTTTGATGAAAATCTAAGTTGTATTTAGATTTTTTTGCAACTATTAATTCTCACAGTAATCCAATTATCTTTAGTTATCTTGGAAATAAAAATCTGTAAAACTGTTGCTATTGAATTAATTATGCTCAGTTGTATATATTGTGTACTATTTAAAAAATATTTCCCCTGCAGATTGTAAGCAGGCTTGTTCAAATTCGTGATTATATTACTAAAGCCAGTTCCATGCGGGAAGATCTCGTGGAGAAAAATGAGAGATCTGCTAATGTTGAGCGCCTTACTCATCTAATAGATCACCTTAAAGAACAAGAGAAGTCATATATGAGATTTCTTAAAAAAATCCTTGTAAGTATTAGACTTTTAAAATAATGTATGGAGTTATTTTTGTAGTATCTCAGTGTATATATACTGATGACATTCTGATGCCACTCCAGAGGAGTTAACATATTTTCAAAAAATCGTGCCATCCGTTATAACATTTTATTGCCCATTTTAATAGTTGTATGATTTATACCACTAAAATATTTCAGGCTAGAGAAAATGAGGAGGAGGATGTTCGGACTATAGATTCAGCTGTGGGATCTGGTTCTGTAGCTGAGAGCACATCGCTAAACATAGATGTGCAGTCTGAGGCTTCAGATACCACGGTAAGCGGCTTTTTGGTAATTGAATGGCTGGAAGTGAAGATTTAAACTTTTTCCCCAGTTTTCAAGATGTTATTTTATAGGTGTTCCCTAATGAAAAGTGTATTCCAGGAAAGAAACCCTCAAATTGTTAATGCTGTGTGTATTATTCTGTGTTTAAACACAGAAGTTTTATTTATTAATCCAAAAAATGCTTTCAGTGATCGATTTGAAAATCTGGTAATTTTTGATATTCAGTTTATAGAAACGTTTTTGTAGTTTGTTTTGTTCAGCAAAGCTTCCCTAATTTTAAGAAGCATTAAGCAAGTTAAAATTGATTGTGGAATTAAGGACTATAGGCAACATTAGTGATTACTTAGCATATAATCTTTTGGAAATTGCCAGGTTCATTTATCACTGAGGACTCCTTACAAATATTAGGGTTTTCCATTTCTAGGGCTCTATCCTAGTACTGTAGCAAAACCAGATGACTGAAAAGTTGAGATAAAAACTAGTAAATGGGACAAGATAGCATTTATGTAGTGGTGTATTCACAATGAGAAAAGTACTATAATTTCTGATTTGTCAAAATGAAATTTGTTGAAGTACTGTTTCTCTGAAAAATAATTAGGAATTTACAGAACTTTGAGGAAACATAAAACAAACTTAGTATGTTTCAATACTAGGGTGTTTTTAGGCATTTTAAGCAGATGTGCCTATAACCATGCATTATTAAACTTTAGTATCTGTTACAGACTAGTACAGCTTTTGTTTTGAGAGGATAACCATGTATCTCTTCTGGTTTTAAGATGTTCAAAATGCCATTCAGCATTAGGAGTTTGAAGGTTTATTTCATTAGTGTTGACCTGCATAGTTCTTATCTGTCTCCTTTTTCTTCCCTCCCCTTCCTAATTTGAAGAGGCAATTTGAATTTCTTTTCTCTACATTATTTTCAACAGGAGATACTTAGCCTGATCCAAACAGTTGTTGAAGAATGGATTTTACTGTGGGGAAATTGTTTTTCTGTTTACAGTGGTGCTGGGAATAACTTCTTTCTTACATTCCAGCAGAAATGGAAGGATTGGGACTATGTGGGCAAAGGAATTCTGTCATGGAGGAGTGGGAACTTGTATAGATTGATTATAATTTATATAAAGAATTCCTTCTGATGACAATTTCGTTCATAATATAAAATCATGACATGAAAGTGGACTAATAACATGTAGCAGAATAGATGTTAAAAATGTGCTTTAATAGTTGTATAGTTTGGAAATTGCATAGGATGTGGTACTTGCTTATTTACCGTAAGCAACCGTCCAGTCTACAGAAAACGTAAAAGACTAAGTTTACTGCCACTCGGAGGGGGATGTGGATTAATTTTAGTTTTTTAAAAAGGTGGACTGGTAATTTTTAAATTGTTTTACAAGGCTGGTTTATATGTTAAACAAGAGTTTGTGTTAAGACATTAATATGCTACACTATTTAATAAAGGAGGAGGCATCTTTTAGTCTGAGAATTTGGCCGTGCATTGAGGACAAACTAGGGAATTCAGCTTCACAAGAACAGGTTTCAGAAATGACGTTACTACAAGTCGAAAAGGGAAAGGTGACAGACCTCCTCAAAATGACAGGGAACTGAGGCCTAATAGGAAATATAGCCAAAAACGTGGATTTCCATCACAGGTATACTTTACAAGGAAGTCTCTAAATGAGTACTTCTTTTGTTCATATTTCCTCTTCTTTATTTGCTTTTCTCTTCTTGCTATAACTCTTCCATATTCATTTTTAATATGGTTGTTATACTGTAATTTGCATTAGTAAAATTCTAGCCCTTAGTATTTTTCTTTATACTTTCTTATGGTTATATCTGGGTTATATCTGACAGCTGTTTTTAGTATATGTTAACAAAGGTTTCGAAATGTAATTCCCTTTTTTATAAATTGTGGGCAAAATTAGTAACATGTTCTTCAACCTTGACTGTCAGTCAGTTGCCCTTTGTTTCTGATATTTGTGTTTACAAATTTAGATGGGGCTGGGCACAGTGGCTCACACCTGTAATCCTAGCATTTTGGGAGGCAGAGGCCGGTGGATCACCTGAGGTCACAGGGCTTCGGAACCAGCCTGGCCAACATGGCAGAACCCCATCTCTACTAAAAATACAAAAATTAGCTGGCATGGTGGCGCACATCTGTAATCCCAGCTACTCACGGGGCTGAGGCAGGAGAATTGCTTGAACCCAGGAGGCAGAGGTCGCAGTGAGCCAGGATCGTGCCACTGCACTCCAGCATGGGTGACAGAGTGAGCTTAAGTAAAAAAAATAAATAAATAAATTTAGATGGTACCCTTTAATACTGGATTTTTTGGTTTATATTTTTGTTGTTTTTGGAAATTCCTTTCATTCGTTTTTTTAAAAAAATCCAGTTGACTTGGTTGCTACTGTTTTTGCTGGGTTTTTCTGCAGTGTTTCTTTTAAATGGTTTTTAAATTTTCCATGATTTGTGTAATGGCATTCTAGATAGATTTAAAGACAACTATTTGTAGTTCCACTTAAAAGAGTTTGAATAAAAGTATTTATAAAAGTGTTCATATATGTTGGCAAGAGCAAAGTACTATTTTAGTAATTGAGTGTAGGTAAGACAAATTTTGTATGTTTTATTATTGGTTTATTACCTAGGACTACACTTTCCCATTTTGTAACTATTTTAGTTTTTTTTGGTTGGGGGGGGGTTGTCTGTGGCTGTTTATAAATGATAAAACTTAACCTCTCCCAGCACTTTGGGAGGCCAAGGTGGGTGGGACACGAGGTCAAGAGAACGAGACCATCCTGGCCAACACAGTGAAACCCTGTCTCTACTAAAAAATACAAAAATTAGCTGGGCGTGGTGGTGTGCACCTGTAGTCCCAGCTACTTAGAAGGCTGAGGCAGGAGAATTGCTTGAACCCAGAAGGCAGAGATCGCGTCACTGCACTCCAGCCTGGTGCCTGGCGACAGAGCAAGACTCTGTCTCAAAAAAACTTAACCTCTAGGTATTTTGGCAGTTTTTTATTGTTTATTTTTTTCTGGTTCCTACAAGAATTTGAGAACAGTTTGAAATTAGTTACGGGAATTTTATTACATAAAATAGCAAGTAAAAGATGCCCCAGTTCAACAGAAGAGTAAATAGAGTAGCTGATTATTTTAAAAACTAGTAGCATTGGAGAAGAGCAGTTAAATAATTGATAACCTTTGGAATTTTGTTTTTCTGCGTTAATCCTTCTGAATCGTGATGAGCAAAATTTAAGAGTTTAACAGTTAATATGCTATCCACCAGTTCTTTTTTTCCTAAGGCATTACATATAATTTAACCACTTTTCTGTTTTTATGTTTCTTTGAATAATATCCTTACAAATAAGTATTATTCTTTCTTGCATTCACTTCTTTTTTTTTTTTCTTTTTTTTTTTTAATTGCATTTTAGGTTTTGGGGTACATGTGATGAACATGCAAGATTGTTGCATAGGTACACACATGGCAGTGTGCTTTGCTGCCTTCCGTCCCCTCACCTGTATCTGTCATTTCTCCCCATGCTATCTCTTCCCACCTCCCCACCCCCCGCCCCTCCCCCATTTCCCCCCAACAGACCCCAGTGTGTAGTGCTCCCCTCCCTGTGTCCATGTGTTCTCATTGTTCAACACCCGCCTATGAGCGAGAATATACGGTGTTTGATTTTCTGCTCTTGTGTCAGTTTGCTGAGAATGATGGTTTCCAGGTTCATCCATGTCCCTATGAAGGACGTGAACTCATCGTTTTTTATGGCTGCATAATATTCCATGGTGTATATGTACCACATTTTCCCTATCCAGTCTATCATCGTTGGGCATTTGGGTTGGTTCCAGGTCTTTGCTATTGTAAACAGTGCTGCAATGAACATTCGTGTGCACGTGTCCTTGTAGTAGAATGATTTATAATCCTTTGGATATATACCCAGTAATGGGATTGCTGGGTCAAATGGAATTTCTATTTTTAAGTCCTTGAGGAATCGCCACACTGTCTTCCACAATGGTTGAATTAATTTACATTCCCACCAACAGTGTAAAAGTGTTCCTATTTCTCCACATCCTCTCCAGCATCTGTTGTTTCCCGATTTTTTAATGATCGCCATTCTAACTGGTGTGAGATGGTATCTCAATGTGGTTTTGATTTGCATTTCTCTGATGACCAGTGATGATGAGCATTTTTTCATATGTTTGTTGGCCTCCTGTATGTCTTCTTTTGTAAAGTATCTGTTCATATCCTTTGCCCATTTTTGAATGGGCTTGTTTGTTTTTTTCTTGTAGATCTGCTTTAGTTCTTTGTAAATTCTGGATATCAGCCCCTTGTCAGATGGGTAGACTGCAAAAATTTTTTCCCATTCTGTTGGTTGCCGATTCACTCTACTGACTGTTTCTTTTGCCGTGCAGAAGCTGTGGAGTTTGATTAGGTCCCATTTGTCTATTTTGGCTTTTGTTGCCATTGCTTTTGGCATTTTGGTCATGAAGTCCTTGCCTACACCTATGTCCTGAATGGTTTTGCCTAGATTTTCTTCTAAGGTTTTTATGGTATTAGGTCTGATGTTTAAGTCTTTAATCCATCTGGAGTTAATTTTGGTGTAAGGTGTCAGGAAGGGGTCCTGTTTCTGCTTTCTGCACATGGCTAGCCAGTTTTCCCAACACCATTTATTAAACAGGGAGTCCTTTCCCCATTGC